TTTTTTTTTTTTTTGGTTTTTCGAGACAGGGTTTCTCTGTGTAGCCCGGGCTGTCCTGGAACTCACTCTGTAGACCAGGCTGGCCTCGAACTCAGAAATCCTCCTGCCTCTGCCTCCCAAGTGCTGGGATTAAAGGCGTGCGCCACCACCGCCCGGCCCCATGTACGTTTTTAAGAAGCTGGGCACTTGCATTGATTATCATTTGGTGGGGTTTTTTTTTTTTTTTTTTGAGACATTGTGTTTCCCTCCATGTTCCTGTCTCATGCTCCCAAATGTAGGTAGAATTAACTATAGGCCCCACTGCTATGCCTAGCTGAAGAAGAACCTTTTTATTTCAAAATTGTTTAAAATTCATATGCACACGTAAGAAATTTCAGAAATCTCAGGTTTCCCTAGTCACAGCATCTTACATATCAACAGCATCACAACTGGAATTAGGTGTTGGAAAGATCATGCTGTCCAGACCTGCTTATGTCACAGGGTCACACATTGATGTATATTTGGTTCTGTGAGCCATAAACCAGTGGTCACAGTCATAGTCAGAGTCATCTTGCCTTGCTTTGCCATACCTCAGCATGTAGTTCATCTGCCACCTCCTGGGAATTCTGGTACATTCTGCTCCATGCGTACCAATCCTCTTCCACAAGCACACAAAGGGTATCGTGTTTAAGCTTTAGAAGAGTCTTTACCTCATTGCTGTGTGGAGGACCCTCTTACCTCACACGTGGTTTGTTTGTTTCTGAGTAGATTCTCACTATAATAGAAGGAACAATTAACTACTGACTAGCCCATGTGGCTAGGTGCTTACTTGTCTGAGTGATTGGAATTCAGTATTTTCCTCCATTACCATTAACAACCCCATACTATTTGGCTGCCTATGAGACTCTATAATCATTTGACAGCTAGGCCAAGTGTGTGCATGGTAGCTGTAGAAGTGGCTTTACTTTGCAGAATGTCCACTCAGTGACAGCGTGTTGTAACCATGGCATGTTGGGAGCTCTGATGACTACCCACATGTCCATAACACTGCCCAGAAGTCATCATTTTCTCCTGTGCTACCTGCTGCACAGGTCATTGTGGTATCAATTAATTCTGGGGCATGGCTTCACACCTTGCCTATGACCTTTCCAGTTTGCATCTCCATGAGGATTCTTAAAACCAGAGCTCAGATACTGGCCAACCAACTGGCTAGACATCCACCGTGTGCTAGGCACAGCAGGTGCTTCAGGCAGCAAGTTACTTTATTGATTCAATGCATGCATTTGCTGTTACCATTTTTGTCATTAACTTCTTTGAAGCAGCCTCCACAAGTCCTAACTACTTTTAACTAGAAGAGTGATAAACTCCTAGTGTTAAGGTTGGCATGTGCTCTCCTCTGTCCAGAGGATTTAGACGATTGAAAATCCATCCTTATAGTCTGGAGCCAACTTCAGACTCTTCCAGCTTTAGGTGTTTTCCAGAACGAGGCAGGATAGATACTAAGGATATGATGAAGATGTACACAGTCAGGGCCTATGTCAAACAGAAAATGTGTGTCCACCCGTAAACATTAAAGGTAATTCTTTTAAGATGGCACCAAACACATATAAAGGGCAGATGTTCTGAACAGATAATAGGCAACTGATTTTTTTTCAACTGTGAAGAAAATGTATTACCAACTTATTGGTTAACCATGATGCAAGTTTTAAAAACAAAAAGAGTAGGAACTTAGTTAAATTTGTAGAATAGGGTATGCATGTGTGTATTGTAAGAGGAAATAAAAGAAATAGTTTTTTTTTTTTAACCCAGAAGGTTCAATTTACACTCAATGAAGAATCTTCAGAGGATACCAGGAATATCTTGTAACTTGGTGTTAAAATGTTACATTTCTATTTGCATATACATAGCTGTTTCTTAAAAAAAAAAAATTAAAGAACAGTTTGAGTACCCTGCAAAATTAAGAGGAAGGCACAGATTTCCAATATGTGTCCCCTCTCGCATTTTAACACCCCCACCAGAGTGTGTGTCAGTGGCTGGTGACAGCTTTTTACTTTTCCGGTTCTGAAGAGGAATGTCTTCTTAGGAACATCTTTGCAGTGTTGTGGGGAGGGTGCTGGGATTGAACTAGCAGTTTACATACGCCTTGTAGACTACTGCCTGAGCTTGCTCCAGGGAAACACAGTTTCTGCATAGTGCTGCTTGGGCAGACCCTTATTCAGATGGTTGAGACCAGAGTAGATCATATTTTGAGGCAGTACTTAGATTTGGCTTGTTGAGAATCCACAACCTGAAATGCAATGAGAAAGGGTTAGGTTTGGGAAGAGGATGTTAAGCATGAACTTGTTCACAGTCCTGTGACTCATCTCTTCCTATAGTAAGCTTTTTTTTTTTAAATGTAATTTCCCTTTTTAAAGCAGCAGTAAATTCTTTAAAAGCTTTTTCACCTGCAATATAGTGTTTCTTTTTCTCCTCTGAGTTATCCATCCAATTAGAGTACAAGTTCTAATTGAATCAGAGCCCAAGTCTGTTGTGTCTGATAAGAATCCAGATGATTGTGGATTGTTGGAGAGCATACATTCTCAAGGGTATATATTTTACAATTTTCAGCATATTTTCAACATGGGCATGGAAACGGGGGGGGGGGGGTGTTGCCTTTGCTAATTATAACGAGAAAACATTACAGTATTGTGGTAGTACAGATGTGCTTATTATAGACTCTGGTGTCTAAAGGTTTTCTGATTGCTTTAATTTCTAGAAACATGCAAATTAGTAAATTGAAAGAAGGTAACCTGGGTCTTGTTACAGTTCACCCCAATACAGTGATATCCTCTGGTCCTATGTAAAAAGCTAGGCCAGATTGTCTAATGCTCAACTTGGGACTGGACCCAAGTTTTTAGTAAGGTCTTTTAAAGAAAGTGTGGGGTGTGTGTGGGGGAGATATGAATGAATGAATGAATGAATGAATGAATGAATGAACGAACGAACGAACGAACGAACGAACGCACGCCTTGGAGTCCAGAAAAACCCATCCCAACCTCTGGAAGTAGAGTTACAGGCAATTTTGAGTCACCCAGCCTGAGTACCAGGATTTAAACTGGGTCCTTTGGAAGAACCGTTGTTATATGCTCTTAACTGCTGAGCCGTCTTTCCAGACCCACTAAAGTCTCTAAAATAGAGACCTGAAGATATAGAAAAACATACCCATATCTGTCTTACAGGGAAGTGACTAGATGCAGTGAATTTAATAATAGCAATAAAAACATTAATTATGGAATATGAAATTTTTAAGGTGAACATTTCAGAAAATATATATTTAGTTGGAATATATATTGACTTGTAATACAAAATCCAGGAGATGCAGAACAAGATTGTTGGATTCTTCTTGCTTGCTTCGCTATTTAGCAGCAGGCTCTATGGGGCTAACACTCTTACTGAGTTTTGAATTAAAGCATATTTTATAGTAGTAGCCATAATCTCCAGTTGAGTTGCTGACATTGTTATACATTCAAAACCATAGTGACTGGTTGTGTGTGGGGGGGGGGCGTGTACATGTGTGTCAGTATACATGCACCTGTGTACATACCAAGGCCAGAGGTCAGTGTCAGGTATCTTCCTCTGTCCTTATTATTTGAGGCAGTCTCTCACTGAGCTCTGACTCCCCGTTAGGTTAGGTTAGGTTAGGTTAGGTTAGGTTAGGTTAGGTTAGGTTAGGTTAGGTTGGCTGGCCAGCAGCCCAGGATCTGAACCTGGATCCTTATGCTTTGGCAGCAAACACTTTTATCAACAAGCCGTCTCCCCAGGCCCCATGACTTTGATGTTCTTCTACTCGAACACCATCTGCAGCACATACTCATTGTAAATAACAGGAAATAAATTGTATACCAATTCCCACTATAAAAAAAAGTTACTTTGAAGGAATTTAGGTAAGTACTGTGACATGAAAGTAGAAGGGGTGGGACTATTGGAAAGGAAGGGGTCCAGCTAGAGTTTCAGGGAAGGCAGGGGCAGGGTGGGGCATTTTGTCAGGAAGCTGAATAAGAAAACAGTATAATGGCACATGTATGAAAGTGAAACTCTTTAACTTTATCTGATGACTTAGATAACAAATAAATCTAACTGAAAATACCAAATGGCACTGGGAACAACTCAAGAGTGTGGCGTAAGTGGAATCTGTACAGCCATACTGTTTTCAAACTGAGATTTATTCAGAATGTCCATGTCTACTTGCAGATTAATTTGCGCCTCATCTTGGTGAGTGGAAAGACAAAAGAGTTCCTCTTCTCCCCAAACGACTCTGCCTCTGACATCGCAAAGCACGTGTATGACAACTGGCCCATGGGTGAGTGCCTGCTGATTGACTCTTTGTCCCTAACTTGTTTCACACATTTTGAGAGAGTACACAGGGCATGAGAGCCTGCTTGCCGGGTCACTGCCCTACATTTTGCCTTTCTCACCACAAAGCAGTGAAGGAGCAGTGGATGCAGGGGCTGAGTTTGCCTTAGTGCAGGTAGAGTGTACTCAGTGCACATCCACTCCCATGTTAATGAACCATTTGTACCAAAACCCAAAAGGAAGGAGCCAATCTTCACGGAGACAACAGCCCCCATGGGCTCCTCTGTGCACGGCTGATTGGAAATGAAGCTTGAGACAAACTTGACCTGCAGTTAGTTCAGACTGCATGCATTCTGTGAAGAAGAGCCAGAGAGAAGTCTCCATGAGTTCTGCTTTTTGCTGCACCACTGTGAGAGCTCTCTGGGGTTGTATATGTGGTAGTTCCTCCCTTCTCTGCTGCCTCCCTATCTGGTGAGATTCTTAAGTGAGTCCTGAGTTTTCCCTTTGAACTTCCAGAGTGTCCCCATAACCATTTCCATGGCATGTGACACTGAGTAACACTGCTGTAGTCCACCTCGATTAACTTTTCCCAGTGCAGAGGGTTGAACCCAGGGCCTTGTGCATGCTGGGAAAGTCCTCCATCACTAAGCTGTATCCCTAGCTCCTTTTTTTTTGGCGGGGGTGGGGGGTGGGGGTGGGGGGGGCAAAGTCTTGCTAAATTACTTGGTCTGCTCTCAAATCAGGCAAATCAATTTAGGAGAATTCCTCCCTCAACCTGGGATTATAAGCACGTGCCACCATACCTCGTCTATATAATGTTTAGCAAAGGCAATTTGAACTTTTAAAGTTGTTTTAGTTCCTTAAAATAATCCAAATAATGATAAATGGGTGAGGCACCAGTGTTAAATACTGCAGGTGAAGAGACTTCTGGAAGTTGATCACATCAGCTAGATGTTATTCGCTTTAAAAAAGGTCTTTAAGTCCTTCTTTTCTGAGTTTGCCACGTCTATGCAGCATATACTAGAGTACATAAAAGGGTTCCTTTTATACAAACTATTTAAATTAAAAGTTTAGGTCTAAACCAGATTATATAAACACCACAGAGCCCTCATAAGCTGTGTTCTGTACGTGTCTCTCTGGGGCCTGGAGAGGGGAAGGGCAGATCTCATGAAGCTGTGAAAGATAATGAAAATGTATGGCCTCACTGTGCTCTTATCAGGCTTTAAATCCCCTTAGAATCCTAATGTCTTTTCTATGTGGATTAAAGGTACTCTTGTGTTTATAGCAAAGGAATGCTTGGCCAGAGATATTCCATAAATTGTATAAATGATGGTTCTAAAGGCAATGCATGCAAAGTAATTTTTACTGAAGCACCTGATCTTTATCTAGAAGAGAGTACAATCAGAATTCCCGGGAGGGGACAGGCATGGGGAAGTCCTCTCGAACTTGAGTTCCTGAGACTGGATACATAAGGTGCATGCATGCACATACATTGTTTTGAACACTCAACAAAACAGAGCCAACCAAGGATGGGCTGTCCTCCCTTCTTTTCCATCACTCGGCCTTCTGTACTACTTTGTCCGTTATCTCCTACTGAAAGCAGAACCTACTAGAATGACTGAGAGTGGTGAGCAGGAAGTCTGAAATCTCACTAAACCTAGAGCTTCAGTTGTAGCCAGGAGCTGAAGGGAACTGCCAACAGAAGCACCCCCTGTCTGAACAGCCGTCTCTGGAAGCCTGTTTTCAGACTGGTGTTCTGCAGGGGCTGCTTGCCACCCATACTACAACTGGTAGCCATTTGTCTCAGCTTCTGTGAAATGTTTGTCAGCTGGCCTCAGAAAGACAACGGCAGTATAGCCCAGGCACCTAAGGAAGTCTTAGAGGAACTTGTTGCTGCCCTTGAGCACACATTTGAACGGTGCAAGCACTGGAACATTATAACATTCCATTAATTACTAACAATGGAAATTGATTTTCCATTAATAATGGAAAATGATATATCCCTTTACCAAGACTAGACTTCTGGCTCAGGGTTTTCCTTAACTTCAGCCTGCAGCTTGACACTCTGATGTCTTGAGGGAAGAACAGTCTTTTTCAGCTCTTTGTTGCTACTTGAGGAAGGTGGAAGGAGCGAGGGCTGCAGTGCCTGGGTGTGGACTCTGGGCCATGTCCTTCCTGGTGGCCTCTACCGAGTCCAGCCGAAGCTGCTGTGTGGGCCTGAACCTAACCAGTTCTCCTTTGTTTCAGACTGGGAAGAAGAGCAGGTCAGCAGCCCAAACATTCTGCGACTCATTTATCAAGGCAGATTTCTACACGGAAATGTCACTCTAGGAGGTAATTAACGTCCCCTTTGCCAGCATTATTCCTCTGTGTATTTTAAATGACAGTGCCATTGTGGTTTCTAAAAAAAAGATTACTTGCTACCCTGAGATTCCCCAACTCTGGATGTCCCTTCTCCCTGGAGATAAGCTCCGCCTGCCAGGGTTACAGATGGAATTTCCCAGTGCTGCCAGAAGGTAAGATCTAGATGTGCTACTTTTACGTTAAAATCCATCACATAGACTAGGGCACATTTATGACAGCAGGTTTTCATTTGTAAAAAGAGGGCTTTTTCAGTGGACTCAGTAAATTCTCATTGTATGGGACCAAGTAAATAGCTACTGTGGACACACCATCTTGTTTCAGTCTGGTCACCTACCGGTGAGGTCTGCAGTCTGCTCTTCCCCAGATAGATCAGTTACTGTGTAGTCACTGAGCGTTCATGTGTCAGCACTAATGAACACTTGAGTAGCTGGGTTGAATGTGATCAGATCCCCTTCAGGTTGCTCTGGGCTTGCATGGGACAACAGAATCCACTGTGGAAAGCCTTGTGGGTTAGAGCTTGTGCCCTCAGTGACCAGCAGTGTGGCTCTAGTGCGCTGCTGGAGAGCCCGGCTCATGTGGAGCTGCTTTGTTACGTTTGCTCCAAAAACTGCTGTCGTTGTAGAAATACAAGAAATAAACTGCTACTTAAAGGTGGAGTTTGTTTGCTTCCTGTTCTTTTTGTAGTTTTGCCTAATTAAACCAACCAACCCTCTGTCACTGTGAGGAGAGTTGACTGTTACTCCCTGGGTGTTTTGTGCATATATTAATCACAGGGCCACTTTTTTGTTATGGTTTAAACAAGATCTTGAATTAAAATTAATAAAGAAAAAAACAAGCTAATAAATGTTGGTTGGATTTCCTCTCTTGACTATGAGAGTGGGTCTCCATCCCCCTCTGAACACTGAGCAGTTCCCACCAGCCCCAGTGTTTCTGTGTCAGGTAAAAGGTCACAGGATTTTGTTAAGATCAAAATTCTTCATTCTCATTAAATTACAGACTTTTTAAAAAAAAAAAAAAATTAGAATAATCAATGAAATGACTCATCTCAAGACAATTGTGTAGCTGTCAAGTCTTTTTTGGAAGCAAATTAAAGGACCCCCAGCACTCATGATTCAGGCAGGTGGTGTGGGGACAGTGGCCCTTGGTTGGCCAGTGCTACTTGATACTTGGTTAGGCCAGATTCTAGCATGCACAGTCCAGTGATGCTGGATGTTTGCTTAGGCTACCTGCTGACATTCCACTGTCTGCCTTCTAGGCTGCAGGTTTCCTTTTTGGTTAGGAGTGTTTGTTACGGAGGCAGCACACAGTAGTGGCAGCTGTCTTCCGCTATACACATGGCTGCTGTAGAAGAGCTATGGGCTTGCTCAGTAGCCTGACAAATAGACTTAGGACCTCCAGCTACAAATAAAGGCAGACAGTGCTGTTGTTGTTTTTAATAGAATAAACATATTTGACAACAATATTTTAATATTTTTATTACTATGAGGGACAAGGCCCAAGTATGGGGGACAGCTTTGCAGTCAGTTCTTCTCCAGCCTTCCCTGGGGTTTAGGATCAAACTCAGGCATCAGGCTTCTTTCTGAGGTAGCCATTGCCTGCTGAGCCCTCTCACCAGTTCAGAAAAGAATGGCCCAGCGTGGGAACAAGTGGTGTCCTTGTGGAAGACAATGATCAAGCATTGGGGGGTTGGGGCGGGGGAGCAGTACGGTGCAGACCATGGATAGCCTTCAGCCACTGTGAGCAGACCCAGTAGGCAGCCTGGACCTGTTCATCCTTTGCTCCTCTCCCCACCCACTTTAGACACCATTGAATTCCAACAACCTTCCTGCCTCAGCCTCTTGAGTAGTCAGGACTACAGGCCCGTTCACTCCACCTGTCAGAATTGAAATTCTGTGGTTTGGTCGGTTTCAGGTTTAAAATTTTGGTAATCAGGTCTCTTTGGACATTCCTGGGTCCCCTCTTTTGAGATCTTGTTAATCTCATGGGATTTCATTCTACTAAAGGAGAGGCCCAGGGAGCACTCCAACTGTGGTTCAGAGAGAGTGTGGCATTGCTTGGGGCACACACCTTCACTCTTACATCACCTATTTACTTTGTATGGCTAGAAGCGCAGCCCAAGGCCTGCAGCATGCTGTGCAAACGCTTCGCCTCTGAGTTACCAGGCCAGCTCCCACTTGATACTCATCTAAAATACAGGGTTCTGCACAGCCCTGTCTCCCACCAGGGTGACTTCTGAGCTCAAACCCAGGTGGTTGTTATGTGTACAGGAAAAGTTGAAATCCTATCTTCTGAATGTTCCCAATGTGTAGAAGTCTTCTGTGAAGGAAGGAATCCCAGTCTCTGGCTTCTCCTCCACCTTCTGCTGTCGCACCGTGCCTGTTGTTTGTTACTGAACTGAGTGCATAGGAGACATGCCAGCCTCACCTGCTAGGTGGCAGCGTCTGGTGCTGCCCAGCACTCAGTACATCTGTGGCTTAGTGATGGCACCCCTGATAACCAGCAGTTGGTAGGTTGCATAGAGAGCGTGACCTGAAAAGCTGGGCTACGGAGCATGTGTGAGGCCAGTGCAGTCATTGCAGAGGTAACACTGCTTTCTCCCAGACAAGACAGATTCATGCTTCTAGCCAATGGCAGAGCCAGAGAGTCACATGTAACTTACCCTTCCTCTAGTGAGGGAATGTCTCCTTGTAGAGGGGCCACAGTCGAACTCATTCAGAAGCATTTCAGCCCTGGCTGGTGAGTTTATGGAATGATGTGTGTGTGACAGATTGTCTCTTCTTTTTTACATAGCATTAAAACTTCCTTTCGGCAAAACAACAGTGATGCATTTGGTGGCCAGAGAGACCCTGCCAGAGCCCAACTCACAAGGTAAGGCCCCTGGAGGGCACCTCATTTGAGCCCTCAAGATAGGATACGCATTCATGCCTGCTTCCACGTAGACATTTGGATGGTCAGGGGATTCCATAGTGTATGATTTGAGCCTGTGGAGCAAATAATCAGAGCATTTTTGAAAAATGCCAAAAATTAAAGGATCCCTCAAAACAAGCTTTGAGCAAAACTCAGGCTGTTGAACTATGCCTCTGCCTTTTTCCAAGACACAGCTTGGCTAACCCAGGCTGGCCCTGTTTCCCTAGGTCAGAGAAATCGGGAGAAAACTGGTGAGAGCAACTGCTGTGTGATCCTGTAATGTCGCTGGCACAGGTGTGGCAGGCTGTTGACACTTTGGGAACAGAGGAGACTCAGCAGCTTCCAACACCTGTAGGACAGTCGCCTGCACATCCGTGGGACTGAATCACTCATGAACTCTGTCATCTCTTCTCACAAAGTAAAAAGAACCAAGAACACTTTCAGTCTGGTCCTTTATTCCTTGTATCTCGTGTGTGTGTTGAGCAGTCTGAAATGCACAGTGGTCTCCAGGGGAAGTAGCAAGTCTCTCTCTGCAGACATCGCCTTGCTGCCACAAAGACTCCTCCACAGAAGTCTGAAGGCGAGTGCTGCAAGTACAATTTGCACTAAAAATAATTATCATTTTCCTCATCACATAATCTGCACGTGTCTGTGGAGCCCAGAAGTTCTTCTATGTGTAGTCCACCCTGGAGGACACCCATCGTCGGTGGAGTTAATACCAGGCCAGTCGGCCAGGGGGAATGAGAAGGAATCTAACATGCTGAGTGAACTCTACCAAAGTCGGCCACAGTGGCTGTCCTCGCAGGATATCAAACTGGGCATGACTGTTGTCACTGCAGCAATTGAGAAGCCATGCTTGCTGCTCCCAGTGCTCTGTAGAGGGTGCCCCTGCTGCCTGCCCACCAAGTCCTCTCAGCAGGGGGTTCATCCAGACAGCATAGAGGGGCAGCAGTGTGTCCCTAGCCTTAATGTGGAGGGGCTGGTCTCTCTGTGCGGTCTCTGTGCAGAACCAGTGGGAAGCCTGAGCGGCAGGTCCTCTTGTGTATTTGAATATCAGAAGATTGAAAGCCTGCACCACGCCACTCATCCGAACCTTGTGTGTGCTCACACTAGAGTAGAGGCATCCTTTTAAAGTCTCCAGATGCTAATTTTGTTACTTTCTGTAGTTTGCATTCAGAATCAGTGCTTGCAATTGTGTTAAAATCACAAGCTGAGTTTTAAGGCATACATGATCAATAGCAACACTTTTATTTTTCCCAATAATTTAAAGATTGATATGCTATAAATAAACAATTTGCACAGCACTAAAGCATGAGCTAATTTCATCTAAACCTGTAAAAAAAGATTTTATATTTTTTTCACTGGGAAGAAATCTTCCTGGATGAAATTACAAATATGTGTAGATTATATTTAATAAAAAAGACATAATAAAATATCTAACTGTAGAACGCAAATATAGATTGGCGTGTAGCATATAGACCAGTATTCCATATCAATAACTTTATCCAGCCTTTTAAAAGATGAAGTTGCAGACTACGTTGTGTTCTGTATTTAATGAGGGTTCTTGGCCCTCAGCAGCATTAAATGTAAATGGTCTCTGTGGTCATCTTTGTTTAAATGCAATCAGGTTACTTTAGTCATTGTTAATGCTTTGATGAAGAGGCTTTATATGCAGTAGATCTACGAAAATATTGTTCATACTGATCAGAATTAAATTTGTATAGAGCAGAGTTTTAAAATGAATGTAAATAGCACTAAACCTTTTCTTTCTGCGCCTGTACTTAATAGATTTCTTCTGTAAACTAAATAAAAAAAAATTAGTGCATTTCGTTGGTGATTTAAAGATCAGTAATTGTTTAAGCATTGTCTCATCTATTTTGTAGTTAATTTTCTACTCTTCTGAGGCTTTTAAAATTCATTCACTTACCACTCTGTTGCTACATGGGAGTGCCCCACTGTCTTTACCAGTTAGCTGGCTAATGTGTGAGGCCCAGCAGCGGGGGTTATGTTTCTGTTATCCCTAAAACATGCAGAAGATATTAATGGGGCAGTTAGTCATAATGACTATATTCTTTGGGAAATCAAACTACTGGTTAATGTTTTTTTTTTTTTCTTTTGTTTTTTTGAGACAGGGTTTCTCTGTGTAGTCCTGGCTGTCCTGGAACTCACTCTGCAGACCAGGATTAAAGGCGTGCGCCACCACTGCCCAGCCTGGTTAATCAGTTTTAACACTTAGATTCTGGATACTCTCTGTCTTCCCAAAGCTTAAGACTTAGAGTCCATTGTGACTGCACTTTGGACAGTTAATCCTTTCAATTGGCTCCCATGTATTTTATTTGTGTTCCCATCTTCCTTTCACGACACTTGAGTTTTGAGCCACGTAGCTTATTAGACAAGGAATTAGCTTACTCAATACCTAATATCATAGTTGTACCAAATTTAAAAGAATTAAAAGAAGTAAGATTCTATAGTGAAAACATCAAAAATTTACTAGTGTATACGTGGAAACACTGGACTCTCCCTTTAAAGAAATAAAACAACAACAAAAACCCCTCAGACTACTGATGGCTAAATGAGACTGACCACACTTAAGGCCAAGGTCTGCCAGGAATGGCCGCTCTGCACAATGGGGGTCTTTTTGTTAGGCCTGAGCATGCCATCTTGGTTGGAATCATTGGCTCTCTCTCCAAGATAAGTTGTATCTGATGTGCTCATTCATGCAGAGGGTTTCTCACAGCTAAACAGACCGCTATCCTGACATCATCTTGACCAATGCTGCATCCATTTCTGTTAGCCAGTGCATAGTTGAGCAGTCTTCAACATGGAATGAAATTAAAACTTTCTCACTTGTCAAAGAATAGATCTCTTCTTTTTTCTTTCTTTTTTTTTTTTTGTTTTTTTTTTTTTTTTTTTGGTTTTTTGAGACAGGGTTTCTCTGTGTGGTCCTGGCTGTCCTGGAACTCATTCTGTAGACCAGGCTGGCCTCGAACTCAGAAATCCACCTGCCTCTGCCTCCCAAGTGCTGGGATTAAAGGCGTGCACCACCAGACCTTTTCTTTTGAACGACTTCCATTCCTAATTTTGGCATATTTTTCCCATTCTTTATCGTTCTACTCCTTTTTTTCTTTTCTAATTTATGACACTCTAAAATGCAGCATGGCCTAGCCTCTGCTGTTTAATTAAGAGAGAGATGAGCAGCCAGAATTTACCACGCTTTCACTGCGTCCTCATTGGTGAGCATTGTAGCATTCCATCCTCCCACCCCCCCATCATTTTGTTCTGCAGTTACTTGTTAGCCAGACACAACTGCAGGCAGTCCGAGGTCACTCCACCGTTTCCATGCTAGGCTATGCAGGAGTTCTTGGGCACAGGCAATAGTTCATCAGCTGTGGGTCTTAATGTACCCCATCCCCCCGTGGCTTTTCTCAGAGTACCGGCACCCCATACCTTACAAAGTGCTGGGCAGAGGGAATCATGAACAGAACTGAGAAACAGTGACTGCGTCCCTATCGGTGTGCACTGCCACAATGTCAACTTCTTAAAAATTGTCTTTTTCACAATGACTACAGAGTAGACCTAATAAAAGTTTAGAGAAAGGTGCATGGATCCCATCATTCACTGAAGAGAAAAGAATCAGGTAAATGTGCCTTTAAATACTGTTTCCAAAATGTCTCTGCAAACGGGTTGCTTGCAGACATCTATGCAGACTCAGAGCTGGTGTCAGGAAGATGGTGATGGTTACAGACTGATCCTGCTTTTACGAGTGCTTTTCCAGGCTTGCTGGTGCAGGGAGCAAAGGTGCTCGAGCAGCTGATGTCACAGAATCCAGCTCTGCTGAAGGACTGGCCACCCTTTCAGAATGCAGGACAGTTAATGTAGAAACCTGGTGGGGAGCTCTGCAGAGAGAGACAGTGTCCCCACACCTGCTCCCATGGTCCTCCCTTAAGTAGTTTTCTCTAGGGGTGTCATGCTAATTGTCTCAGAACAGTTTCTGGACTTTGCAGTCTTCTCCAGTTTGATAATATGGCATCCTTGAATTTCAGTACCATAGAAACAGCTAAGCTTTGAAAGTCAGTGACATCAGGGAAGTTGATGTTGCAATCTCGGGTCTCCAGCTGTTTGGTAGCTTTGGTGTAAAGATTCCTTTTAAGTAAAGCATCTCTGCCTAAGAACATACATGCCAGCCCTGTCACTAAGCATCGTGTGCTGAACCAGGATACTCTAAATTTCAGGAAAGCAGCTTGCAAAAAGGCCAGAGGACATAACATGGATGCATCCAGATAAACATCAAAAGGAAGACCACGGTGAGAAAAGCTGGAAAATGGGCTTTGTGTTAGCAAAGGGCCTGATGGCTCAATGAAATGAGGCTGATCCAGATATGATAGTTCAGGTCTATGTTGTTTTTTAACATAGGCCTAGCTGGGTGTGGCAGCTTGTGCCTTTAATCCCAGCATTGGAAAGGCAAGTCTCTGTGAGTGCCCCACCAGCATGGCCTACTTAATGAGTTTCAGTCCAGCCAAGGCTACATGGTGATGCCTTGTCTCAAAAAATGTAAATTAAGTAGGCACAAATTTTTAAAGAATAGGCTCAGTGAGTGGGTACTTGGCAAGGCTCCGGGCTCATCCCAGCACTGAGGTCTGAATAAGATAATGTTGTCTCTAATCTAGATTACAGCTGCTGACTTCAGTCCAGCTCCACAAATGAGCACAATGCTCTAGGTAACATTGTGGTTTGATGACTCAGAATCTTGCTTGGCCAAGAGTTCTGATAATCTTTTGAAATATTTTATTTTTACTATATTTATCTATTAGGGAGGAGGGGTGCATGTATAAGTTAGGGGAAATGGGAGTTAGGTCTCTCCTTCCACCATGGTATTCTGTTGTGAGGGGTCCACCAGAGAAGGCTACAGGGACATGGATTTAAGCCAATAGAAAGTCATTATTAGCTGGCCAGTTGGTTATTTGGGATCCCAGTGTAGCTCAAGCCTTCCTCAGGATGAGTAAAACCACATCCTGGATTTACAGACTTCAGTTAACAAGAACAGTTAGTCAGAAGTAGAACTTTGAGCTATGATAGATTAGGACTTCCTTTTCATTTGGGTTGGTGGTGGTGTCTACGTGTTGTTTTAGCCTGAACACTGCTACTGTCATGGTGCCGGTTGTGCTACAGTCTGGGGACCGGTTTAACAGTTCCTGGGGCTCAAACTCAGGTTTTGAGGTGTCTCACCAGCTTCTAATTAACTCTTGATCTGCTAATGTCATCCCATCAGGGTTTCAAAACCATGGTTGAGTTTGTTTTGACCCAGAAGCAAAGGCAGGTTGCTGGGGTTTTGTAGTAAACTTGAGGCAGACACATGCCTTCTATCGTCTCCAGGTCTTGCTGGCTGAGTTCTCACATTTCTGTAGGGAGGTGGCTCTCCCATTTGGCACAGTGGGAGGACCTTAGCCAAACCTAGATATAATCCCCTTTCCTTCAGTGCAATTGGCTTGGCAGTGAGTAGAGACCCCACCATGACGATTTGGTGATGAGAGTATGTTGGGGAAAAGTTCCTCTGTAAATCTTGAAAGAGATATTTTGTCCCTGGATGAGACAAACACGCTAGCCTCCTTGCAGGCAGAGGGCAGACCTAGCACCCTGAAGCTGCAGGGTAGATGGAAGAAACAGACCTGGCCCCCAGCTGAGGTGTTGCTTTTGCTAAGTGAGATGGTCCATGAACTCTTGTAGAAGATGCATGCATATGCTGGGCTTCTTCCTTTTTCCCCTAAGGAAATGTCCCTGATGATACACATGAACCACCCACGTCGTTTTTTAGAACTATCGCATAGTTTTTAGAATTCATTATATTTGAGACAGGATCTCATGTAGGCTGGGGTTTACCTTGCTCTACAGTTTCTAGGTTGCTCTAACTAGAATGACAAGGGAATTTGAATGGACAGATACACAGACTGCAAAACTGGGATTGGGATGGGCTGTACAGTCTCTGATGGAGACCGCAACTCAGAAACTTAGCTCATCTGTTTATAAATCTGAATGGAGGAGGTGGGTTTATTGGATACAGATGAACAAGGAGTAGGTTTAGCTAATGTCAGTTGGAGGTTTATGTAGGGGACCAGCCTCCAGCTATGGCCATCCAGGAGGAGGAAGCTGTGATTGACAGCTTCTGCTCGTGGTCAGCATTTGCACTCAGACCAGAGAAAGGCTTTCCATCCCTCTGAGCCTCACCCAAGGATGGCTTTGCCAATCCCATAAGTCTGGGGGATTTGGGTCTTTGGCATGATTATGCCCATGTTACAGCTTCCACTCCTCCTTAAGCTAGCCTTGAACTCAATATGTAGCCAAATCGACCTTGAATTTCCAATCTTGCCTCTACCTTGTGAGTGCTGGGATTGCAAACAGGATACCTGGGCTATGCGGTGCTGGGAACAAAGATCATGGCCTGGTGCATGCTAGGCAAGCACTCTACCAACTGAGCTGTATCCCTGTCCTGAGATTGTAATCTTTTTATGTTTGCCTGAGTCTCGAATTGTTTAAATTAAATTTGAATGCTCGTGGCTTGGAGTGGGTGCCTTTATGCAAATGACTAAAAGCAACTACGTAAATAAAAAGAATGCAAGGAAAACCAGTGGAAAGGCAGATGGCAACAGGAACAGGCTAGCAACTGGCACAAGCAGAAAGCAGGTACACAGAGTTCTGCTTCTGGGTTGCAATGGTGCTTCTGCACTACAGAAGCTGGTCCCTTTGTCCAGCTGTGGGAAGAGAAGGACTCCCCAGCTATCCTCACCATCACAGCTCTGAGTCCACAGGAAATCACGTACAACCAGACCC